TCAAACATAAATACATAAATAAGTCAACATGCATCTGACAATGCAATCATATCTTAGATCCCAAAATCAAACAGTGGTCAAGTAAAGCAGTAATACATGTATTTAAACTATACAATATATAAACCAGATACCATCATAGTTTTAGACTATAAAATAAATCAACATAAATCAATAAGAAATAATGTCTAAATTGGGCTCCATTAGCAATATGTAATTAATCAAGCACATCTATTTAATTTGTACAAAATAGACCGTATTATTATTGATTTAAACTTTAATTCTATGATAGGAAATAAGGTGAGGGGTCCTTACTTGATTCGACTCCGAAAACTAGATGGTTACTGCTCCTACGGATGGTCCCTAGGTTCCCTAAATTTTTCTTCGGGAACTGAAACGCGCTTTATGGTACCTACTAGTGTCCCAAATAAATCCAAAAATCAGACCCAGGGTCTATTCGGCCAATTTCAGAATTCCGGTACGGTGGCTCTGCGGTGCTCTGGTAATGGCGCCGCCGCTCGTAGCGGCGATCTGCATCAAGTTGGTTGTTTTCGGCCAAATTCAGCCGAACTTGCACTGGTTCCTGCGAAAAAACACATTTAGGGCCCTCGGTGGGCCGAAAAAATGCAGAAAACTGAAACTCACCGGTAGTGGGGCTCTCTGGTGCGGTGGCTCCTCCGGCTCACGTTGCGACTGAGTGTTTTACTTCGGTCAACCTGTAGAGAAGAAAACAGCGGTCACAACGGTGGAAAAATCACATTGAACGGGAATCGGGAAGGGCCTCATCGGAGGCATTTTCTGAAACACCCCACGGCGGCGCCACTGAGATTCGGCGGTATTTTCTGACAAATCGGCATGTTCTTTCACTCTTATTTGGTCATGAATGAGTTTAAAATTGAATTTCGTGCAAGAGGAAAAATTTTTACCTCGTTTGGCAGTCGATAATTACTCCGGTATGATGGCGTGTGGCGGTGGTTGGCTCCCCGGCGGCTGGGCTGTCTTTTCCGGTGAGGGGCTCTAACGGCTAGGGTTAGGGTTTGGGTGCGGATGGGGTTATTTATACCCATCCGCTTTTGATATGGGCCGTCCATCGTATTTAATCTGGACCGTTCATCGCGATTCAATGTGGACCGTCCATGCGCGATGCAATCTGGGTCATCCGTGCACATTTTTAATTTGGGTCATCTGTGCGCGCGGGAACAGATCTCAGCCGTTCGATCGCATGCACGCGGATCGCCCACATGGCTCCCCCCGCGTGGCCTCCTGCGTCAGCGTCTCTGCCACCTGACGCGTCCTGGTTGATCGGGGCTACTGATCGGACAGCTGACGTGGTGTAACTTTTTTAAATTACGTTTTGACCCTCGATTTTTTATTTTTCTTTCAAAAATATCCCCAGAATCCAAATTTTCACCCCTTTTCCCCAAAATTATTTTCAATTAAATCCATAACTAATTTTTACCCTTTATTATTATTATTATTATTATTATTTTCATTAAATTAAATTAAAATTAAATAAATTAAATTAAAATCATATAAATAATAATTATATTTATATAACAAAATTAATAATTATTAAAAAATAAAAAAAAATATGAAATGTTAGGTGTTATATTATTACTTTGAATTATTTCTTATTTATTGATTGTGTTGCCTAATCGTAATTTTTTTGATCTGATTGATCGAATGGAAATAAAGGTCCTGATTATGTATCTTGATTATTAAACTGTATTGTTTGCTTAGATGTCATTTAAATTAACATATGATTATAAAATGAGATGCTGGTATGCGATTGGTGGTTATTTTGTTAATAAAAATCTATATATGAAAGACTTACTTGGTACATTGAGAAAGGATGGACGGACCCGATACATAAGGAACCCTACAGTGAACATTATCTCAGTCGGATTGGGTTGAGAGGTCCCAAATCAGAATGATTTAAGAGATATAATTCATTCTCATATCGAACGGGGTATCGAGACAATGGTGTGTTTGGTGCCCATTACCGGATGAGGTATGGAGACGGCTGGGTTAATAGTCAAATTTTGATGCAGAGTTCACTAGTAGGAGGATATCCCTATGGTCCCACAAGGGTTCCAGTAAGTATGTTAAAAGGGAG